GTGGCAAACTCCTAGTAGCGGCCGAGGAGCAGCAGGCTCTCCCAGATGTTTTGAAGGGGATGTTTCTGTGAGGGGGGCGGGGGATTGTAGGAACTTGCTGTGACTGTCCAATTGTAATTCTGCAATAATATGTGTGTCACTACTGTGTAAATATTCTGTAATGGGTGTACCTGTACTCTGAAGTGTTTCCAGGGCTTTCGAAGAACATGCGTTTTAGGAGCTGGGTTAGTTTGGGAAAAACAAAGCCAGAAGTCTGTTGCTAGGAATTCGTGAGAGTAAACTTCGTCCCACACTGTGACAGTCATTTGAGCCGCAGTTCACATCCCACAGGGCGCAAATGGAAAAAGGTTTGTGTTGAGCATTTGTTTTTTTTGTTGTTTTACTTTTCAGTCTTGATAAACCGGGCTTTTAGAATTGGGAGGCTTTAAATTGCAAAGCATCCGTTTCTTTAGCTGATGTAGTGTCAAAGCCTGCACCCCTCAGAAACGCACAGAATTACTCACTGGCGTTTCCAAGGGGCTTGTTAGTTCATTTGGGCTGCAGTAGGAGTGTTTTCCAAATCAGGGTCTCGTTTAAAAAGCTCCAGTGTGGACCAGAGGTGAAGTCCACGTTGTTTCTTAGTTCTGAGTCTACAGCTCAGTGTGGGGTGGCCTGGGTAGGTCTGACTACAAAGACATGGAAGCTGTCATGTGACTGTACAGGGGGTGCGTTTTCGGACGTAACTCCTACCATGCTTGTGTCTCATGTCTACAGGCCACACGTTTGGAAAATGAGGGTTTTATCTGTTCTGAGAGCATCAGAGATTCCTGTAGGAGACGAGAGGTATGCACAGGGGTGTGACTGCGTGATCTATAGCAACCCCACCCCTCCGATATATAGACCCCTCTGCCAGATGTCTGTAATAAGGCAGTCCAGAGCAGTGCACTTCTTAATTCCTTGACAAATTCCTGCTTGAAGGGATCTGAATTGAACTGGGGCTGAGGAGGAGGAGAAAGGGAGAAAGAGGGGGGTGGAAAATTAAAAGTCGTTCAGAACACAAGCCCTTGACTCCCCCCCTCACCCTCCTCCTGCCCTTCCCCTACCAGAAACTGCCCCGTGCCAAGGTGCCAGCCGCCATGAGGCTGCCGCTCCACAGACTTCGGCTCCTGAGGGCCTAGAGCGGACGTGTCAGAGGGCCAGCGGGCTCGTCTCCGGTCCGCTCAGTCGGGCCGCCCAGGGAAGAGTAGCACTTCAGAGCAATAAACTGTTCTTCTGTCTGTGTGCTGGGTTGGTTGTTTTTCAATCCAGGGGATCCCGCAAGATTTCTCTTTCCCATCCGTCCAGTGGCCACATTAAGAGAGAAAAATCGGGATCCTCGTTTTCATAGTCCACCGTCACCATTCTGTCTGTGTAGGATTTTTGGAACTAGCTGTTTCTGGTAGTGAGAGAAGGCGAGATTCCTCTGACCTTGACCATTCTTCAGGGGAGGATGTAGCAAAGCCTCTCCTCTCTTCAAAGAGTGTTGGGGTGAAAAACTGTCCTGGTACCGCGAGCTTCTAATTTCTAAATAATCCGTGACACCCACTCCCAGGTGTGCCAGCGGCCTGGTCTGGGGTTTGGGCTCTTCTGTTGGTTGTTCAAGTGTTTCTGGGTTGCTGGTTGGCTGTTAGGACCACCACTGTGTTCAGGGTTTGAGCTCGTGAAGCTTGAAGGGGAACTGCAGTCCCAATGTCTCAGACCGGTTATTACATCTCGGTAACAAAATAAATCCATTGATGTTACAGAACAAATTGACAAATTCCGAATTAGGCACGACATCATGAACTTTGTGAAAGTACTGTAAGTCGCCATGTTGTCAAGTTCCCACGAATGGTGATGTCATGCGGCCCTTCCTGCTCACTAGTCACCGTAATGGCTAATGCAATGGGATGGGATGAGCAAATAAACACAGGTTGTGCTGCAGACGTTTTACACAGAAATGTTGCAACATCATCTGCATGCAGAGTTAACAAGTAAGCGGTATTTGACTGCAAAACAGTTTCGAAGTTGAGAGCGGTAGTTCTATTGGATATTGGATTAGAAGAGATGTATTCACAAGCCTGCTTGTTTATAGTGTAACAGGGCCGCAACACGTCGCCAGATGTTTTGTTGCCTCGTTCTGAATCGCAGAACATGGCGTTGCGTAAACCTGGAAATGTCTCTTTTGTGATGTAAATTGGAGGTTTCGCAAGTTACTGCGAACATTTTACCTTCATCGTGGTTTGAAATGCGCTCATTAATGCTGATTCTTTTTAGCCTGAAGTATGAAAACAGCCTTGCAGTTCCCCCTTAAATTGACAGGAGTTCAAATTCACCATGGCTTCTGTATGTGAGAAGGAGAGATACAGTACTTCCTCATGTCCTCTTTGCTAGTTTCATCTCTTCGGCACTCCTTCCATCTTAAACCCTACAGCGTGCCCCTGGCATCCCCCACCAGCACGTCGGCCAAGCCAGATTCAGTACTCTGTCGTGGCACAGGCTGCTACACAGTATGTGTTAGTGCCGCTGTTCAGCAGTAACCATATTTGTAACTCCCACAGAACCAAGAGATGAAAACAACTTGAGAGGTGACTCAGAGGCTGAGAAGCGCTGGCGTTCTGTGCGGCGCACAGCCGCACTGCTGCTGCTGGGGGGGAGGGGGGGGGCAGTGTGTCACGCTGTCGTCACTGACCGACACACCCACAGACCAGCGTCCAGCTGCAGCCCCCCCTCGCAGAGGAGAGCAGGGCAGCGTGTCCGACACGCGGGTGCCCTGAGCACTGCTCCGCGATGTCATTTCCTTCCGATGGCGGTGCTTAACCAGGCCTGCAGTCTTGCACGTGCGATGCCCTCTGCCGAGATTTCTCTGCGGCCCTGGGGCACAGGACAGGCACAGACACCATAAATTGTAAACAGGTCACAGGAGAGCTCTTTAAGTGAGGTTTGAATACGCTTAAGGATGATTAGCATCTGCAACATAATCACACGTGTTCCCTCCAAACACAAGACACTAATTTGTAAGTATAGCTGAACTTCAGTGGATTGTAATAAATACCCTCATCCCCTTGTCAGTTATATAGACGAACTGTTTAACGCTGATCGTACAGTTAATTAGA